TAAAAAAACGAGACGATCTGTCCAGCTTTAACTTCCTTACTTCACGGCACTGCGGAGCGCTGTCAGTTCTTCTTCTTCCTAAAAACCCAAACGTAATCGTCAGAATCAGCACGATCAGCGATTGTTGCAAAATGCTGTTCTTCTACTTGTTGCAAGATAAAAAAATGGCTATTAAAAACACAAAAATCTGCGCAAAGAGAGACGCTGTCACAAGGCGGTGCGCGCTCCGAAGGGACTGCCTATACTTGGGCTCGTGCGTCCTTAACTATCAAATATAGGCTACATAAAAATGTCAAAATGACCAGCTCTGAGATTCACTTAAACACAATTATGTCTTAAAATGGACGTAAAATAATAGGGAGAAAAATGATGGTGCATCAGTCCTCATTAGATCTGCAATCGGTCTTAAAGGGGCAGCAGTCTAATAGCCTAAACCTGCGACGATTCAGCCCATTAATGTAAATCAAACAACCAAAGCCAGAGAAAATCCCTCACAGCTTTTGAATGAGTAACTTTAGATTTAATAAGCATTATTCTATCTATGATAAACTATACATGCTATTTTTTATATTTGATTACTAGGTTTCTTTTCAGATAGAAAACAATTACCTGAAAAGATGTTAGTACACCTTCCTGAAATTAAAGCACTTTGTATATAATTTGTATCTTTGATTAATTGTATTCTTGTGTTTGTACTTGTTTTTTTCTTATGCATCCTTTTTGTATAAACAAAAAAAGCCTGCACACTGCTGCATAACAAAAATATATTTTTCTTCATTTTGCTTTTTCTATTTTACATTTCAAAATATAAAGTTTAATTATGTTCTTAATTCTTAAAAAAAAAAAAAAAACACCAAAAAGAACCGATAAGAATACCGTTAAAGTACCGGATCGATAAGCGGTATCAGATAGCTTAGAACTACAACAGAAATATTCTCAGCATGAATGGTCCATGAAGAAGGCAGCTGAGCAGAGGGAGTTGAGGATGCGGCTCACCACAGCAGGACACAGGCGAACAGGAGACAACAAGGCGTATACTGCTACACAAGACAAGACACAGGTAAGATTTCTTGGACAGCCAAAAATGAGAGCGCGTACTCACACAATAATCCGACATAGAACAGAGAGAACAAACAGCAGAAGTAGACGGAGTAATCAGACAGGACAAGACACAGGTGAGGGCGCAAGGCAGCGAGCCGCTAATTGAGATGATCAGCAGGTGGACCCTGGCAGTAAGTGTGTGCGCAGGAGAGTGCGAGAGATAAGGGTGTAATTAAGTGTGTGTGGTAATATGAAGGAGAGAGAGAACAGAAAAGTACCCCAGATCCTGACACATTGACTCATTCTGATGTTTCATCAGCCAGACAGTGGTCCATATTTGACCTACTTAACATGTTTCTGGCCAAAAAGTCTTTGAACTTGCACTTTCCATAAAACCCTTTCACTCCTTCTGATGTTACGTAAGCAGGACGTCCATATTCGACCTACTTAAAACATTTCTGTCCAAAGAGTTTTTGAACTTGAATTACTTAAAATATTTCTGGCCAAAGAGTCTTTGAACTTGAACTTTCCATAAATACTCTTTGACTCCTTCTGTTGTATCTTAAGAAGGAGAGTCCATATTTGACCTAATTTACATATCTCATTCTGGCCAAAGTATTTTAAAGGGCAAACTTTCATAAGCCTTTGGTCCAAAGAGTCTTTGAACCTGAACTTTCCATAAATCCTCATTGACTCTTTTGAGGTTTTTTTTCAGCCAGAGAGTGGTCAAAATTTGACCTGCTTTTCATATTTTTGGCAAAACAGTCATTTGACTTTTTATACATATTCATCAGCCAGAAAGTAGGTCAAATGTGCTTTGCCCAACTTAACATGTTTCTGGCCAAAGAGACTTTGAACTTTCCATGAATACTCATTGAGTCCTTCTGCTGTTTTGAGTTCTTCTGAGAACTACTTATTGACCCCTTCTTCTGCTGTTTCATGAGCCTTAGTCCTTAGTCTCTAATTATACTCTATACTATACTACTCTATACTACTCTATACTATACTAATTTACTCCTGTCCATATTTGACCTACTTAACCCTCTGATGGTCTTCGAAAAAAGCAACAATTCTGGTCTTCGGGGTCTACTGGACCCCAGACAATATTATTTAATTTAACAGAATAGATAGATTTTAGCAAATATAATTTTACTCTCTTTATTAATGTTTTTACTCAAACATTTGTGTAGTTTTTTTGAGGATTTATGATTTTTTTTTTTATTTCTATAAATAAATAAATATTTATTTAAATAGGATTTTTACAAAAAAACAGCATTTTGTGTTAAATAAACTTTATAAAAGACCCAGATTTCTAAATTTCATTCCTGGGGATACCATGGATAATTTTACAAGGTTGAATGTAAGATTTATGCCTAATTTTTGGAAAAAACAGGTTAAAATTTGTAATAAGTCACTTTATCCACTAGATGGCTATTAGAGCTCCACTAGATGGCTATAGAGCTCCACTGGGCCTATAAACTATTTGAATTACTGAAAGATACAGTGGCATGAATAAGTTTTGGCACCCATGCTAAAGTTGCCTAAAAAGAGGAATAAAAAATCATCTTTTGGATATTGATCTTAATGCCTTAATTAGAAAAATAAGGAAAAGTCCAACCTTTAAGGACACCAATTGTCTTTGTGAATGAATAATGTATCATAAATAAATAAATGTTTTTCCTTAAAATACAGGGTGCATAAGTCAGGGCACCCCTATGTTAAATTCCCATAGAGTCAGGCAGATTTTTATTTTTAAAAGCCAGTTATTTCATGGATCCAGGATAATATGCATCCTGATAAAGTTCCCTTGGCCTTTGGAATTAAAATATCCCCACATCATCACACACCTTCCACCACACCTAGAGATTGGCATGGGGTACTTTCCATAAGATCATCTTTCAATGCATATCAAACCAGCTATTAGGCTAACTGAAACCATGCCAATCTCTAGGTGTGGTGGAAGGTGTGTGTGTCACGAGATGAGGTGGTGGAGTGCAAGAGTGCAGGCAGAAGTAGCGGGAGGAATCCAGATTAACAAAGAAACGTATTTATTTTAAACATACAGGCAGGAGGACGGGGTTTCACAGAGGTAACATTCAACATCGACCGACAACCATTGATTAAAACAGAGGGAACTAAATACACAGAATAATCAAACATAATGGGGTGAGAACAGGTGAAACAGATGATGACGAGGAACAGGTGGCTGATGCGGGAGTGAACACGGGATAGGGTGACGAGAGGATCCTGGGAAGTGTAGTGCTGAAGACAAGACAGACTGGTGCAGACAGAGGACTGTGACAGAACTCCCCCCTCCCGGGAGGCGTGACCTCACGCCGCTGAACAGAGGAAGGAGGGGGGACGAACTGGGGCCTGAGAGGGGCGTGGCCAGGGCGAAGCAGGCTGAGGGCGTGGCCAGGGCGGAGCAGGCTGAGGGCGAGACCAGGGCGAAGCAGGCTGAGGGCGTGGCCAGGGCGGAGCAGGCTGAGGGCGTGGCCAGGGCGGAGCAGGCTGAGGGCGTGGCCAGGGCGGAGCAGGCTGAGGGCGAGACCAGGGCGAAGCAGGCTGAGGGCGTGGCCAGGGCGGGGCAGGCTGAAGGCGTGGCCAGGGCGGAGCAGGCTGAGGGCGTGGCCAGGGCGGAGCATGCTGAGGGCGTGGCCAGGGCGGAACAGGCTGAGGGCGTGGCCAGGGCGGAGCAGGCTGAGGGCGTGGCCAGGGCGGAGCAGGCTGAGGGCGTGGCCAGGGCGGAGCAGGCTGAGGGCGTGGCCAGGGCGGAGCAGGCTGAGGGCGTGGCCAGGGCGGAGCAGGCTGAGGGCGAGACCAGGGCGGAGCAGGCTGGACGGTCTCCGGCACAGGCTGGACGGTCTCTGGAGCTGGGCTGGTCGGGCCCAGCGAAGAAGAGAGCTCGGGCTCGGAGAGACTGGACGGAACCAGCAGTGAAGAGCGTTCAGTCTCTGGAGGGCTGGACGGAACCAGCAGTGAAGAGCGTTCAGTCTCTGGAGGGCTGGACGGAACCAGCAGTGAAGAGCATTCAGTCTCTGGAGGGCTGGACGGA